TCTGATGCTGCCTGGCCTGCTGTGTTCCTCCAGCTCCACACTGTGTTATCTCTGACTCCAGCATCGGCAGTTCTTACTATTTCTGCATATCACAAAACCAGTTTTGCACAGCTATTTATTCTAAAGCCAGTGGCATTTAAACGCTGTCTGCAACTTTGCCAGCTGTTAAACCACAAAAGTAAATTTACTGTGGTTAAAAGCACAGTAATCCGCTTAAAAACGGAGAAATTAATTCTGCTCGCAGCTTTAAAAAAAAAAAAGGGCTTATCACAGCTTATAACATAGCACCTGTCCTGGACTTTAAGAGTTGACACCAGTCCACATCATGAGATGTTAGAACATGTGTTCAAAAAGTTGGTCAAAGGCAAAGGTTTTCAGTAGCAGCAGGGAGGAGAGGGAAGTGGGGAGATTTGAGAAGGAAATTGCAGAATTGGGACCTAGGTAGTTGCCAGTGGGTGGTGCAATCGTCATCAAAAATGCATAAAGCATAGGAACAGGAGTAGACCATTCAGACCCCCAAGCCTGTTCGGCCATTCAGTGAGATCATGGCTAACTCTATACACCTGTGTTTGGCCCATATCACTTAATACCTTTGTTTGTCAAAAATGTATCTGTCTTAAAATTGACAACTATTCTAACATCAACTGCTGTTTGTGGAATAGTTTTCCAAAGAATATGTAGAAATGTTTCCTAATGTCTCTCTTAAATCATCTGGCTCTAATTTTTAAACTATGCCTCCTAGTTCTAGAACCCCCAGCCAGTAGAAACAGTTTATTTTCTCAAAGTTTTTTTTGTCTCATAACATCTGCATCCTATACTCCAGCCCTTTAGTTGTGAAAGGCAGCATTACATTAGCTTCTTGACTATTTTCTGCAACTATTCACTGTGTTTTAATAAGCTGTGTAACTGAACCTCCAGATCTCATTGGACATCCACTATATTTAACTTTATTGGTCTAGAATGGATAAGCTCACGATCACTTATGTTAAAATCCACCCGCCACAGCTTTGTCCATCCTCCTAATCTATCAATATCCTGTTGTAATTGTATGCTGCCATCAACACTATCTACAACTGCTGCCCAATTTTATGTCATCAGTAAATTTATATATTTGACTTTTATGCCATTATCCAAGTTGTCATTGAATATTATGAATAATTGAGGCCCCAGCACAGATCCCTGCAGGCTACCACCAGTCATGTCTTACCAATTTGTATACTTACTCATTATTCCAACTGTCTGTTTCCAGCCACTCGACCAATTTCCTGTCAGTGTCTGTAATTTGCCTTCAATTCCATGGGCTTTCACCTCAACTAACAGTTTCTTGTGTGGGACTTTATCAAAAGTCTTGCAGGTGGTGATATTCCCATGTACCTGCTGTTCTTGTCCTTCTTGATGGAAATGGCTGTGGGTTTGGAAGATGCTGTCTAAGGGTCTTTAGCAAAATTTTGCAGTGTATCTGGTAATGGTACACACTGTGTCAGTGGTGGAGGGAGTGAATGTTTGTGCATGTGGTGCCAATTGAGCGGGCTGCTTTGTCCTGGATATTGTTGAGCTTCTTGAACATTGTTGGAGCTGTACCCATCCAGGCAAGTGGGGAATACTCCATCACACTCCAGACTTGTGCCTTGTCGATGGTGGACAGGCTTTGGGGAGTCAGGAGGTGAGTTACTTATTGTAAGATTCCTGGCCTCTGACCTACTCTTGTAGCCACTGTATTTATATGGCTAGTCCAGTTGAGTTTCTGGTCAATGGTAAGCCCAAGTCTGTTGAAAGTGGTGGATTCAGCTATGGTAACGCCATTGAATGTCGCACGATGATGGGTACATTCTCTCTCTTTTTTTGGAGATGGTTGTTGCCTGGTACTTGTTGAATACATTTATGACTAAGGTAGACTTTTAGTCTCTCATGGAATCAAAGGATATGGGACAGGTTGGGAAAATGGAGGCCAAGATTGACAATGACTGTATTGAAATGCAGGACAGGCTCATTTGGGAGGTGCTTACAGCTGCCCCCTGTATATTTTTGCATTCTAATGAGATGGTGGAGTTGTGGAAGGAAGCTGGTGCAGAGTACAAACACAGCCTATTTTAAGTGCTGTACTTGATGTAACTGTGCAATATTCTTACAAAATGGTGAGAGAACATTCAGAACACAACCTTGTCTTTGCTGAGTGATCACAGACCAATCAGGGACACATGGTGTCACTGTTTCAGCATGATCAGTTCTCCAGTAAGATCAGGAACAATTTCATCAGGTACTTTTTCTGTGCTGTAAACCTGCATGATTCTATTATTTGCTGACTAATGAAATCACTTGTAAAAAGAAAACATTTGTTTGTCTAGCATTTTTCACAACCACCGAATACCTTTAAAGTTCTTTACGGCCAGTGAAGAATTTTAAGAAATGCGGCAGTGAATATGAACTTGGCAAACTCCCACAAACAGCAACGTGACAATGGTGGGTGGCTTGGAGGGGAACTTGCAAGTAGTAGTGTTCCCATGTATCTGCTGCCCTGATCCTTCTAGGTGGAAGTGGTCATCTTTAAAAGATTTCGAATGAGCCTTGGTTAATTACTGCCATGCATGTATATTTTTCACACTGT